TAGAAAGAAAAGAAAATAGGAAGAAGAAAAAATAGAAAGAAGAGAAAATAGAAAGTACAAAAATAGAAAGACAAAACTTTCTAAATCAATCCTTCCACAATCCTAGGAATATATACAATTCTATTTTCAGATCTGAACCAGTAACCCCACGTTTTCCAACAATTACCATGGTGGTCCCTAACAGCCCCCCTTCTCCAGAGTCCCCTGGGTTACCAAGACAGCACCCACAACCGTTGGTGAGAGCCACTCCACCACACTTTGAAGCCTAGTGTTCTCCTCTTCTCTCTAAGCATTTCTATCAGTTGTCTCAAAAGAAAGATAACTTCCATGGTTGATCTCCTTGGCATAAATCCAAATTGGTTCTCTATTATACTTGTTTCATAGTGTGGCTCTTGAGTTTAATCCCTTAATAGTTATTACAACTTTATATATCTCATTTGTTCTTAAATATCGGCTCTTTCTCCACTCATTCAACATCTTCTTTTGTTTCATTATCTAATTAAATAGCTTAGTTAGCTACAATAATCTTATCTATCTCATACCTTTCTACACTTATATTGGAATACCACCGAGTCTTGACACTTTTCTCTTTATCATCTTATTTATTGTTTCTTTAACTTTAATAGTTCTAATTTTATGAAGGTAAATGTTATTTTTAACATTATTAGTACTAGTAAATGTGCACGTGCATTGTATTTGGCAATTTCAAATGATGATGATGTGTAATAATAAGGGTCACTGATTTTATTAGTTAAACTAGGGGTTTACTAAAATGTATAATAAAAAAGGTTATTGAAAACATTATACACTGCAGATAGTGTACAATGCACTGTATATTATTATTATTGTTGTTGTTGTTATTTTATGTGTTCTTATAAAACCCATGTAACAAAAATAAGTAATTGAAGCATGGTGCATTGGTGAGTTTATATCCTTTCAACCTAAAGACCTAGCTTCAAATCTTCTTGTAGTTTATATCAATGTTTTCAACTTGCAATTGAATTGGATAGTATCGACTGACTTGTATTGGGACAAATTTTTGAATATGTTTTAATTGAAGCCACTTTATTGCAAAAAATCATTGCCTTAGTCAATGATCAGATGGTCTTATTGGTTAAACTGCTGAGCTATTTGATCAGGTCAATGGGCCATGGGTA